AGCTGCTCCTTGGAAACCCTATATAGGGTCACTATGAGTCGGACTGACTCGATGTCACTTAACAACAAAAAATATTTTGGGGAGCAGAAAGCCTTATCTTTCTCCTGAAAAGTGACTGGTGGGTTCGAATCACCAAACTTGTGGTTAGTGATCCAGTGCTTAGCTGGTAGAGCCACCGTGCTCCTCTGTAAACACATAGTACTCAATAAATATTTGACAAATAAATGTGCTATGTATGAAAAATGATTTGCATGGAGTCTGCTACTTCACTCAAATATCAGAGGCCGTGTAATCATAATGGTTATTGGTGGTTCTGACGCCCAGGCTTACCCACAAGCCTCCCACACCGGCTCCACGCCAGTCTTCTTCCCACCAAACCACAGTCCATCTCTCTTAACCCAAGACACACATTTTTCTGTCTTCCTTCCCTCCTATGGTGCTGCATGTAGCCCAAGAAAAATAAGATCTCTAACATACCCTGGAGCTCCTTGAAGCACGTTCAGTGTCTTTCAGCATGATAGATAAACACACTAACCACATATACTTCTGCTATAAATAATCATGGCAATAGAGCTTGAGTTCTGTCAAACTCTTTAACTTCCACCATGCTTGGTGTGAACCTTACAGAGTGTTGTTACCCTTAAGCAGAAGCCAGAAACAGGACTGCTTGAAAAGAAGGCTGAATTTTTTTTCCCTATTAATCATGTGTGATACACATGTTTGAGAATTATGTCACATCTCATCACCTTATATTAGAATGAAAAATGGAACATCTTCAAAAGCAGCGCTGAATCAAATTAGTGTGACTCAAGATTTATGACTGAAGTTTCAAAGTCAATTCCTCAGTCTGGTCATATGCCCTACCCTGGGTCTGAGAGGTAAATCTGTCCAGTTATAAGGAAGGTCACTCTGCCCAAAGGAGCAGAAGGTGTTGAACCACTTTCAGGAGGGCCTTCACAGAGAAGATGGTCCGGAAAAGGAGTCTCTGATGAGTGTAAAATGATAAAGGCTCTCTCTCATAAGCTCCCATGAGTACTTACTGCCTCTCTCATTCACTACCAGTCTCCTCCACCTTAAAGGGAAAGTGACCTGCAGGCACAGCTAAAGAGAAGATAGAGCAGTCTATGTAGACCAGTATGATGCCATGCCAGCCCCAGAGACCACCATATTTTTATGCAAGTCATGTGCACATTATCATTTTTTTCTTCACGCTACACAACACAATGTGTATTAATTTCCTTCCTATGAGCCCTGTGCATGTTATTTACATGGGTATATTATATGTGAAAATGTATTACCTCAAGTCCATATTTTCACTCCGTCCAAAGTGCCAAATGCCTGGATTAAATGGGTGCATTTTTGTTTCATGCATTCACAAATATGTAACCCTGGTGGTGAAATGGCTAAGGAGTTGACAGCCAATCAAAAGGTTGGCAGTTCAAACCCTCCAGAAGCTCCGTGGGCGAAAGAGCCTAGCAATTCTCTCTCATAAATACTGTTGTTGTATGCAGTCGAGTTGGTTCTGACTCATGGCAACCCCATATAGGGTTTCCAAGAGTGTCTGGTAGACTTGAACTACCAACTTTTCAGCCCAGGGCTAATCTTACAGCGTCACATCTGGGCTCAGTTACAGCCTAGAAAAACTTTGGGGACAGCACTACTCTGTACCATCGGGTCACATGAGTTAACATCAACATCATGATGGTCTTTGAAATTACTTGGTGATACAAATGGTTAATGCACTCGGCTGTTAACTGAGAGACTGGACGTTTGTGTCCACCAGCAATGCCTCTTTAGGAAAGCCTGAAGATCTACTACCAAGAAATCATCCACTAAAAACCTTACAGAACATAGTTCTACTCTAACATCCACAGGGTCATCATGAATTGAAATTGACTCTGGTAACTGGTTTACCAGTTTCTGATGGACTTGGATCTCTTCCACCTTTGTCCCTGCTTCTTAACTGGTCCACTCTAGGCTAAAAAAGCAAATTGTCCACATTTGTAGAATGATGCTTCTGGTTAACCAATGTGTGCTTATAAAGCAGAGAAACTTGTTCTGGGACAATGTCTTTTGCATTAGGTGGTAATACATTTTGAGGGCTCATAGCTTCTTTGTTGGTCTGACTTAGTAATTCTTAAATCAGACCATTTTCCCCATCCAAAATGAATTCCTCTTTATTAAAAATAAGTCTATAATATGCAATTCTCCACTGCCACCATCCCAGAAGAATGCATCTATAGCCACTTTGAGGAGTAAGATTTATGGTTTATTTCTAAACTAGTGCATGAATGGACATGCTTGGTTTGCCTGCAGTCACCTCTGGCATCTCCACCTGCTCTCTCTTGAGAATTAGTTAGAGAGCTGCTTCCAGACCTGCTAGATGGAGCGCACCTGGAAATCATGTGGCTCTCTGCAGAACACCGTGACATATTTATAGATTTAACTTCATCATATGATTCAAGAACAATTTTACTAGTACTCAAATAGAATGATGTTATATGCATGCATTACATGGTCACAGCCAAGGCCACACATGTTCAAAAAGAAACATGCTGTCACACCACATATGATTAGCTATTTCTGAGTTTTTTCCATTAGTGTTATAGCTTTTTTTTCTTTTTTTAGCTGCTCGTGTTTAATATCAGACAGATGATAATATTTGCCAAAAGTTTAGGAAACCTTACAGGTGAAAATCAAAGTTGAGAAAACAATCCGTTTTATTCCCCCTAAAAACTGGGAAAAGATGGATAGTGTTTTTGTCTTGGTAGGGTGACTCAGGGTACTAGAAAGCCTGTGTCTAGGCTTATGGACAGAGCTTTAGGTATGGGATGCAAAGTCCTGGGCTTATTTCAAGGTCGCTTCTCTATCCCCATACAATACCCTTTATGAAATATGCAGTTCATTCAGGAAGGAAATTCTTGAGATCTCAGCTCAACGAAGCCCAAGGAAAACCCAAAGGTCCTTGGGAAGACTCCTTCCCAATTATGACAAGCATCCATGGGTTATGTGAAACTAAGGACTGCAAGACAAAGAGTCCATTAATTCTCCTAAAGTAACCCCCAGAGTTGGGGGATGGAGGATGAATCCTCCAAGGATACATGAGAGGATCTACCTTGGACTCCTGGTATGGCACCAGACTGCAAAGCCATTTTAAATTTAAGATCAGAGGTTCAAGCTCACCAGCTGCTCCTTGGAAACTCTATACAGGGTCGCTATGGGTTGGAATTGACTTGACGGCTCTTAACAGCAACAACAATACCTTGATGTCTTTCAAAACATCCATCTCTGGCTTTGGGAAAAGCCAGCTCTGGTTTCTGAGCCACTTGTGCATGGATGGATATGCAGTCTTCCTTAAGAATTCTCAGTTGGCCCCATTATCTATTCTTGACCATTAGGACGTTTCCATGTGGAATAAGATGACAACAGGTTGTGTTAGAAATAAACTTGGTCTAGTGAAGGATCTACCTCAAGACTCAGACCCTGACTGTTCACTAGGGGTTGTCCACCCCATACAGAGGCCTAGAGTGGCCTCTTAATATGCGCTAGGTGCTGATTATCTGTCTGTGTGTTTTAGAAAGGATGTGAGAACCCAGATTATGGTCCTGATTAGTTTTGGTGAATTTACAGCCAAATATTTTAAGTAGCTACTAAGCTGTTTTCTTTTGCCTTTGGATTCAAGTCTAGTTGGTCTCTAAGCAATTCATGAGTCAGAGCCACAAAAGGTTTGAATGAAAAGGGTGCTGTTAAGGCCCCTGATTTTTTTTGTCAGTTATTTCATGCACACGTACACATACATGAAGCAATAAGAACACCAACATGCTAACTGCAGTCTGTCTGGTTAGATTAGAGAAGATTTATGATTGTAATCTTTTATGATTCCCCCCCACCCCCAATTTTCTACAATCATAAAAAGAAAAGAAAAAAAAATCCAATCTTTGACTCTTTAATTCTTGTTGGTGACGAAAACAAACAAAAAGAAGTACCCAGCACTTTAGCTTCAGGCTTCACAATGCTAAAAGGGCCACCATTTATTGCCCAGTAACCCAAGCCCCAAACTCATTCTTGACCAAGGGGCACATGAGGAATTGAGAGGGTGTAGTGCAGACCAGGTAGGCCACTGGGGAACAGGTAAACAAGGGCTGGATGGTGAAGGGGAAAGGGTTTGGATTTCATCCTATAAGCACTAGGATGCCGTTGGGAAGTGATAGGGAAGTTATACGGGGTTTTAGAACATCTAATAGCAGGTCCAGAGTAGCACTGTGGGGTATAAAGGGGTTACGCCAGGTGCAACTCAATCAAGGCCCCAAACAGTGGGAGAAATGGGATGGAGGGAAGGAAGGGGTAAGGTTCAAGGAATGCCTAGGGGTCCGAATCAGCAGAGCATATTGAAGTGAGGAGAGGAAGGAAGCTGACTCCAGACAAGATGAGGAAAACAGGAGAAGGAACACGTTCCAGGTGGTGGGGGCTAAGGCTAGAGGATAAAGATACGTTCAGTTTTTCATTTGTCCTCTGTAAATCCAAGACTGCTTTCCTTTAATTGTCAAATCACATTCTGTCCCTAGTGTTTGTAAACATCCACTCCTCACTTACCAACATGGTGAGGCTCCAGAGACCAGGCCATAATGTGAAAATGGAGGATGACCACATCAGATGACCACAAAATGCCCACGTCATCACATAACTGCCACATTACATCATTACATAAGTGTCAAACAAAGAAACTTACAGTGACTCCTGTGTTTCAGAGTAGAACTGTACTCTATAGGGGCTTCAGTGATTGTGATCTTTAGGAACTAGATCACCACTATACCTCTCTGGGTAGACTTGAACCACCACCCTTTCAGTTAGTAGCTGAGTCCTTAATCATTTGTGCTGACCAAGAACTCCATAAGGAATGAAACAGCCACTTAATTCTGTCTTAAACACATGAAAAGTAACAACTTTCCTACATAAGACATTTTATCTTGATGAAAAAAGTGGGGGTAGGGACTACTCACCTCTTTTTGAGTCAACAGCAGAGACAGCCTGGATTAAAAGAGGTGCATTGGACTCGGAGTACTCCACAAAGACAAGCAGCAGCTTCAGGGCTGTCTTCACCACCAGACGGAACTGGGAAAAAACCATTGAAATCATCAGGTGCTGCATACGGCCTTGGACATTGGCAAAAATGGTCCTCCAAACGGTCTCAGGCACCTAAAGCTTAGTGTGACCTTGGCACTCTTCTTAGTGGTTTACAGATTCCCTTATCAGGTCCTTACCGGAACTGAGGAGGGAGGGACTATTATACATCTATTGTATAATTGATCAGGAAATCAAGTCACAAAATAACAAGCCCAGATCACACAGCTAGTAAGAAATAGCCGTAGAATTTAAAGCAATGGCATTTGAACCTAACCCCTCAATGATCACATTCCTTATTTTCCTGTAAGAAAACAAGCACAAGGCCCCACAGCTAATTCAGGATATGCAGGAACATGAACCATGTCCCTATTAAGCAAAAAATGCTCCCCAGGACCTTAAAACCCATACCCATTGGGCCCAGGACTCAGCATTTGTAGGGTATTACATATAACACACAGTCCAGAGGCCTTCCTTCACACAGCTGCATGGCGGTCCCATGCCATAAACTCGCACATGGAGGACACAGGTTACTCACCCCCAGGTCACCCAGCTCTGTCAGATTAAGTTCCCAACTTCCCAACTGAAGTTGCTACAGAGTCCTAATTCCAGCTCAGCTCACTCTGGAGCTGCCATAGCCTTAGGATTTTCCAGGTCTGCTTCTTCTCTATGCCCCCAGGTACTCTGCAACCCTTTTCCCATGGTCCCTCTTCCCTTGACCCCACTTCTCTCCAGAGAACTTTGTGGCAGAGATGGCATCCTGATGATTCAGCCCCATCCTCTTCAAAAAACAGACATACTATCTCCATAAATGGGTAAATCCTGCTGGCCTTAGGCTACACGTCCCACTCTAGGACTTTGCTTGTAGGTGTTACTGCCACTCACCAGCAGTAAGTCTTTCAAGTAGAAGAATCAGTTTCTGTTGGCTCAACTCCAACTCATTCATGGTGACCCCATGGGTTTCATTGTAGGCCAATGCTCCATAGGGTTTTCAGTAGCTGATATTTCAGAAGTAGATCACCAGACCTTGTTTTCAAGGTATCCAAGGGTGAATTTAAAACACTAACCTTTTGGCTAGGACCCAAGTCTGTTAACCATTTGTACCACCAGGAATTCCTACTTTAATTGTGTGTGTGTATGTGTGTGTTTGGTGTCCTGGTGTGGTGCTGTGGGTTAATGTGCCAGATTGCAAATCCATTTGCACTGCAAGGTCGGCAGTTCAAGATCACCAACTGCTCCTCGGAAACCTTATATAGGGTCACTATGGGTCGGAACTGACTTGATGGCACTTAACAACAACAATAACGTGTGTGTTTATTTGCATTGTATCTGCAGGGTCTAGAACTGTGTTTGGCACAGGGTGGGTGTTCTGTGAGTGATGTTTGTTCACTGAGTGACAGAATGACTAGGTCAATAAATTAATGAAAAGTTAACCACCTGCTTAGCTTCCAAGGCCATGGCTGTGGAGAACCATGTCTGGACTCTTCATTGGTTCTGAAACTCAAAGAGGACTTAGAGCTTCCTGGAGGCATCTGTCCACTTCCAGGTGTCAGGGACAATGTGTATCCTTAACTGGTAATTTGGGGAACCGCTTAAAACCACTACCTATCCAAAGACATTTCTCTAAAGCCATGTGAAGACCCCTGGCCCTTTCCTTCTGTCATACTTACCTAGCAATTATCTATCCTTGATTCCACACCTCTTTCGAAGAGTGTCCTGGTTCTTAGCTCCTTGTTTTTTAAGGAAAACTTTTCAAGGAATTGCTATACATTCCATGACTCTACTTCCTCACATCCCCACTGACACCTCATCCTAATCCAATGGGGCTTGTCAACATGACTTAAACTGCTCTTGTCCAGGTCATCTAACATACTGGTTATTTCTTTCTGTCCATTTTAGCTCAATTCCTCAGCATCACATGAGATAACTAACTGCTTCATCCAGAAACACTTTTCCTCTCACCATGTCTCCTACCTCACAGTCTCCTACCTCAGAATGCAGAATCTCTAAGCGTGGAAAGGCTTCAGAGTTCGAGTTCTCTTTCCACAGAGTCTTTCTAGGTGAGATCATTCAGTCTCTTAGTTTTAAATTCAATATATGACCCAATGCTAAGTGTTTCTTTCCAGGCCAGATCAAACTCTTGAGCCAGGTGGTCATATATCCATCTGACTCATGGCATCTCCACTTGGATGCCAACAAGCACCCCAAAGACAGTACAACCAAAGTAGAGCTCTTGCTCTTGACTCATGCTCATGCCATTCCACCTACCATTCCCAACCAGTCCCTTCCTGTCTCCCCATCTCAGCAGAGGGCATCACTACCCACTGAGGTATAGTGACACCAACCCTGTTTCCCTGTTTCTCACAACAAATCTAGCTGCTATGCTGTCAGAACTTCCTATAAGACCTCTCCTGAATCTATCCACCTCTTCATCTTTCCTATCTTGGACTACACCATGATGAACTTCCAAGTGCCCAGTGCCTTGCACACCCTGCTGCAGTGTACCACCAGATTGTTGCCAGAGTGAATAGAGCATTCTCCTGCTTTCAACCCATCAATGATGCCCCCGTCACACTCAGGATAAAATACAATTTGTAAAGAGTTTACATCCTGGCCAGCCAAGCTCTCTGCCTTCCTTTTTGCCACTCTGCCCCTTGCCTGGTTTGCTCCAACCACCTAGGTTTTGTTAGTGGTATGAGTACAGGCCGTCACCGGCTAAAGAACAGGATTTGTTTCCATGTCTTGACGAACTCATAGGTGAGTCGGAACAGGCTCACTCAGTTCTTAGTGCAAGAAGCTCTGTTACAGGAAAGGGATCGTTTCTCTGCACACTGCAGTGACGACAGTGTCACAGATTAAGAAAAGATACATAGACCAGTATTCTATATATTCTATTACAAATGGAATTAACTTAAACCTGCCAATCACACCACAGGAAAAAGATAAGGGAGTCTGCTTCCTTAAAGATTTACACCCTGAAAACTCTATGGGGCAGTCCCACTCTCCTGCAGGGTCATTAAGGGTCAGAATAAACTCAACAGCAGTGGGTCTGATTTTTGGGTTTAGTGCTAAAACAAACAAACAAACAAATAAACAAACAAACTGTTGAAGCCTTTTCAGTGATTTAAAACCTGAACATGCAGCAAGCGAAGAAGATTTTGATGAACAATTTGTTAAAAGTATGGGTTGATAGCAGTGGGTTTGGGATATTTAGGTGTTAGTTCAATTGTTCTAAAGTGAGGGCAAATTTATATAACATTAAAGGGCAAGTCCGAGTTATCCATAAATTAGACATTGGTAACCTGGGGACTACATGTACGGGCTTTTCAATATACTGATGATTCCTGTTCATGATGCTGGGCCTTCTCGTGGGCTATTCCCTCTTTTGGGAACACATTTTCTGTGGCTCTTCCCAGGACTGGCCTTCCCATCCTTCAGGTCTTAGAAATTTCTCCTCATCAGAAATGTCTTCCCTGATGACTTTATCCAAAGAAGTCCGTTGGCCACCATTTTAGTTGTGAGGTGCATTCAAGTTGGTTAGGACTCATGGAGACCCTAAACACAACAGAAGGATACACTGCCTGTCCTGCACCATCTTCACAATTGTTACATTTTGAGCCCACTGTTGCTGCCACTGTATCAGTTCATCTCATTGTGGGTCTTCTTTTTTGACTGACCATCCACTTTACCAAGTATGATGTCCTTCTCCAGAGACTAGTCCCTCCTGATAATGTGCCCAAAGAATGAGACACAAAATCTCACCATTCTTGCTTCTAAAAAGCCTTCTGGCTACCCTTCCAAGACAGATTAGATTTGTTTTTCCTTTTGAAAGTCCAAGGTACTTTCAATGTTTTTCTACAATGTCATAATTCCAAAGTATCAATTCTTCTATGCTCTTCCTTATTCTTTGTCCAATTTTCACATCATATTAGACAACTGAAAAGACCAGGACTTAGGTCAGGTGTACATTAGCGCTCAAAGTGACATCTTTGTTGTTTAATACTTTAAAGAGATCTTGTGCAGCAGATGTGTCTAATGCAATATGCTATTTGATTTCTTGACTGCTGCTTCCATGAGTGCTGACAGTGAATTCAAGCAACTTCAAATAATGTAGGGGTTACGAATCGGGCTGCTTACCTGAAAGTCGGCAGTTCAAAACTACTAGCTGTTCCGTGGGAGAAAGATGAGGCTGCTTTCTGCTCCCATAAAGATTTACAGCCTTGGAAACCCTGTGCAGGGTCACTATGAGTTGGAATCGACTCTACAGTACTTAACCACAACACAACATGTGGTTTAAAACCAGGAGACGTGTGGATCAGGGTTGTACCTTTTTACCATACTTATTCAATTTGTATGTTGAGTAAATAATCCGAGAAACTGGACTGAGAGCATGGCATCAAGATTGGAGGAAAACTAATGAACCACGTGTGATGTACATACATACCAGCTTGCTTGCTAAAAGCAAAGAGAACTTGAAGCACTTACTGATAAAGATTGAAGACAATAGCCTTCAATATGGACTACACCTCAACATAAAGAAGAAAGACAAAAGTCCTGAAACTGGACCAATAATAACATCATAATTGAAAATATTGAAATTGCCAATAATTTCATTTTACTTGGATCACAACCAATAATCACAATCATAACAGCATCAGTCAAGAAATCATCTATTTCACTGGGTAAACCTACTGCAAAAGAACTCTTTAAAAGTGCTCAACAGCAATGATGGTCCTTTGAGGACTAAGGTACACCTGACCCAAGCCATAGTATTTTCAATCACTTCATACACATGTGAAAGCTGGATAATGAATACGAAAGACTGAAGAAAAATTACTTTGAGTTGTGGTGTTGGTGAAGTATACTGACTATATATCAGGACTGCCAGAACAGGTACCAAATCTGTTTTGGAAAAACTACAGCTAGAATGGTCTTTAGAAGCAAGGATGGTGAGACTTTGTGTCTCATGCACTTAAGATACGTTATCAGGA